TCTTGGGGCGGACATTCCAGTAAATCGTGGTAAGAAATTCCAGAATGTTGAAATCTTTTTTTACTACATTACTGTCCTTACAGAAAGAAATCAACCATCAACCAGAAAATAAAAATTCAAATTCATCAAGCAAATTTACAAGTATTCACTTTGCAAGGTGCAAATGCATTTAGTCATTAATGACATTATGATTTGAACATATATACGTCTGTAGGGAAAATTTTTGTTATAGCTGATTTCCTTCGGCATCAATGCTGTTGTTCAGCTGTGTTCTGTTTGTCCGACAACAATGACAAAAATTCACAAGGAAATGAAGAGAGAATGACGTACACGTATACAAATGTAAGCATCACATTTGTCATTTCGGCCTTAAGAAAGTGATAGGAGAATCGTTCTACGAGCTGACGGGAGATGTCGTCATGCATTCCTGACACATGTTGGCTCAAATGATTGGAAACCTTCTTGTAGATATGTTTAGTGGCGATTTTATTTCGAGGAAACTAATAACCAGCGGCAGCAAAACAATACGCTCAGTCTTTCTTTTGCCAGTTTACCTCCTTTTCAAACAGCACCTTTTACAACGAGAGAATTCGAAAACGTCAAAATACTTTGTAATGATGCGCTTGCGAAACTCTGCATTCTATAAATTTGGCTTGCAACACAACTTTGAAAACTCTGACATATTGGAATACGTTTCGTGCAAATAAGTTCTTTTCGGTGAAATGGCTAAAATATGATACAGATAAAAATAAAATAATTAATATAATGTTTAAAAAATAATTAGCGCAAAAAACTTGCTTTCCGACGTCGGCCGTTATTGTTAAGAATTTATGATGAAATAAAGCATCACAAATCTAAGCGATGCGCAGTTTGCTTTTGTTTGAGCATCAATAACTTTACCGATGCGTTTTGGAACATGATGCATCGTCAAAGTTCGTAGAGTTGCATTTAGAAATGGGTGCCAATGTATGATTCCTTTGCAACTAACGCTTTGGAGCAGGTAATTGACAATAAAATAGACGGGTTCCCCCTGAATTAAGCTGATTCTCAGGCAAATCATTTTTTAAAAATGTTGGTAGATTTTCTTTGTAATCTGAGGCAGCTTTAAGATCTACAACTAAGTGCGAAATAATAACAGTGGCTAATTTAAATTTTTATTAATGATTTTCTTACATTTAAATAATACCCGTAATTTACATTCGTCAATGCCCGAATGTAGGCCCGAATACTACTACCTTGTATTTAAATTAATTTCCGATGTAGTTACCACATTCATGAAATCCCGTTACTCTTTGTGCTACACGTTACTATTTTACTGTGAATTAAAATAGCCGTGCCTGTAAAATAGTCGTATTGTGTGAACGAATTCAGGTCAGACTTGAAATTTTAAATTATTTTTGAATGCTGGAAGAATAATTTCCGTAAAAACATGATTTTTAAAATATTAGAATATATTTCTATATTCGCTCCCTCATCCCTTAAAGTTTTAAATTGAATATTACTTCTCAAGCGGACAGATTCTAACCATCTATTCCTTGCTTTAAAGTTCTCTATTTATAACTGAGAATAATTATTGGGCCACTGATTCAAAAACGATTTCATTTCATTTATTTTTTCAAAATCAGTTATTCGCGTTTTTCTTTTGTGTTCCGTATGTATTTGAATTTTTTTGATGCAAATTTGAAGCTTGAACTATTATCGACTATATTTGAAGCTAAATTATTTAATTTATTTAGCATTAAGAAAAACTTAAACAACAACTAAAACTATTGATGAATTCAGGTCACAAAATTGAGTATACACTCACATTTTAAATGTGGCATCTCTGGATATCTTTTTGTCCGTTAAGTGATCATGTTAGCACTGAACTACATTTCAAAGATTTTTTTGCGTGTTAGCCTTAGATACGCAATTTATTGTTTTTTTTTTTGTGCATTTCTTTCACCATGTCTGGTACCAGGAAGGGGACAACTATTGAAATAAGAGAATTAGTGATAAAATTGACCTGTTAAGGTAAATCGTGCAGACAAATTGCTGAAATTATTGGCAGACCTCGTTGCACAGTTCAAAAAATTATAAATAAATGGAGATATGGAGGAATGTTACTAAATTCCAGTGGGAGAGGCCGCAAAAAAATTTTGACTGATGTTGATGAACGCAATATTGTACGTAAAGTCAAATAGTATGGAGAAAGCCAAAGACGGAGCTACGAAATAAAAATTTAGTTGGGACAGTGAAACGTGATGGTGGTTCAGTTATGCTTTGGAGTCTATGGGAGCCAATGGAGTGGGCACCATTCAATTTATTGAAAGCAACATGACCAAGGACATTTATTGGGGTATATTGAAGTCTAATTCACGTGCAGGCATGGAAAAAATAAAACTTCCGTCAGTGTTTTGGTTCCAGCAAGACAACGATCCAAAATATACAGCGATGATAGTGAAAGAATGGCTACTTTATAACGCTCCAAAACAGCTTAAGACTCCTCCTCAATCCCCCGATATGCACCCCATAGAACATTTAAGGGGAGAACTGAAATCCATGCTGAAAAAATCTAGTCCCCATACCAAAGAAGAACTTAAAAGGGAAATTATCAGAATATGGGGCGAAATATCACCTAATTTCAAAAAAAAACTAGTAGACTCGATGCCTCGGAGAATGCAAGCTTTAATAGATGCAGCTGGTGGACCCAAAACCTATTAAATAAAAAAATAAAAAATAAATGAATAAAATTGTTATTTTTCATGAAGTGTATACTGAATTTTGTGACCTGAATTTATCAATAATTTTAGTTTTTTGTGTAAGTTTTTTTAATGCTAAATAAATTAAATAATTTAGCTTCAAATATAGTCGATAATAGTTCAAGCCTCATAATTGCATCATAAAAATTCAAATACATTCACTAAATTTTGCATAGTTTGCGTATTTCTCTTACGAAAAACTGTGCATACTCATTTTTGTGAGTAACTGTATATTCTCGGGGTGAATTTCAATTCGAATCGGTTGAATGGCGAATGCTTTTTAGAAATATAAATTTCGACAAAAGCAAGCAATTTAATACTGTTTGGGCTTTGATTTTGCATACAAAAATATTAAAACAATAATTATATTTTTTGTTTTTTTAAAGGTAACGAACAACTAAACTGCTAAACTGTGTATGTGTGAGTTTATTTTACTCAACACTTGCCGCACTGATTAATTTATATACACAAATGTATAAATGTCATTTTGTATAATTGCAAATATTTGTAGAATCCAAGGAAATCTTGAGTGATTTATTATATTTAGCTTCAAGGGGCTTTCATTTGAGATTTGAAATTATCTTTTTTTTTGGGCAACCTATTCAATATACTAACATTTATACATTTCTGAATTAATCTTCAATCCTTAAGATGTATAACGTAGGGTTCTCTGGAAATGCTTACATAGCAAGTTTTTTGTGAGGACTTCTGTGGGATTAAAAAGTTAAGTCTCAGTGCTGTCCAAACTTTTTTGTCGTGGCGACAGAAGTAGCCAGGAGATCTATTCAATGACCAATTTTTCCAAAACGTAAGAAAAACAGTGAAAACAAGTCGAAATTTCGTTTTTGCATTTATTTTCGATTGTTAATGCGACGTATGACATTTTTCTATTTTCTATGAGTTAAAATTAACCGAAACAATGATTGTTTATTAAAGATTAATACGACGGATGATATTCTTTTTTTTCTGTCAATTTATCAAAGCCTGGCTTCGATTGGATTAGTTCGCAACGAAGTTCGGATTCCGAGACTTGAGAATGATGCTTCACGAACGTATGTGGAACCAAACATGCATAAAAACTTTGGCACAATGTCTTTGAGTGCCAAGAAATTACATTCAGATAACAGACGCTTCCACAATGCATCGCTCGTTTCATTTGGCAAGCCATTTTCCTCATTCATCAACGAAATTTCGAATTCCAAATCAGTTTTCTTTGTTGACAATTTTTGAATATTATTTGGGTCACAAAAGAATGGGTTTGAAAAGTTTGAATGTCAACTAAAAATTTTGGAAATCTTCAAATCGTGAATCGAACGCGTTAATCAAAATATCGATGTATTGAACGAAAATTTTTGTACGGTAACCTAGCTTAAAGTCTGCATTATATTTATTTGTGTATAACACTGAGAAGAAAGTAAAATAATTTTCGTTAATTTGGTTTTTAAATGCGATAAATTTCAACTTGAATTCTTGAATATCTTTCGGCAAGTTCTAAATGAATTTATTCTTTCCTTGTGGTCTCATGTTTAACTCGTTCAGATGTTTCGTAATATCTGCCAAAAAGTACAGTTTTTCTTTACATGTATGTGCCGATATTTCATTGAATTTTACATCCAAGTGTTGTTCCATGAGAAATAGTGCGATTTCTTCAAACAGATCACAAAACCGATTCAAGACATTTCCACAGCTTAGCCAGCGAATGATTTTGAAGAACATTACGTCACCAAATTTGGAATTTAATTTTTCTCTCAACAATACAGCCAACCACTGTTTGTCTTATTCAATATGTCAATATGAAATCGTTTCGGCTAACATTTTAAATCGTTTTTTGGTAAAAATTAGAATCCTCTTTTGAAAAATATCAAAGTCTTCTCGTCGGCCACTGAAATTTGGCCAAGTGGCCACTAGTTTGGACCTGACTGACTGACTGACCTCAGGGTAAAGTCTTCCGTCTTCGCATTTCAATAGTCTACTGGTAAAACATTACCCGCAATGCCTTCTAGAAACGAAAGTAGAACCGATACAAAGTTTTTTTCTTGATTCCATGTTCATTTCTAAAGCAGATAGTGATTTTAGTGTATTTACTAGTAGTAGATTTACTCTTAGGTTGCTATATTTATAAACATTGAAAAAGTAATTTTATCAAATTACATATGTATATATATGTGTTTTTAAAGGGAATTGAATGCCGTTGAAATTTAAAATAAACTCTAACCAAGCTTTTACCATAAAAAGTTCCTATAAAGAACGCTCGGTTTATAACTATCGTCGACTAGTCGAACTCTCTCAACAGGTTGTGTGCGCTCAAGAACGTCACGTTATGGGTGATAAAAAGGTTTGTGGGGAGGCACAGGAGCTGTTGGAAAATATTGCACAGTAATATGCGCATACATACATAGATTGGTACAGAGAAAGTAAATTGAAAGCACAAAAATGGCTCAACAACATCTTCGCCATTGGTGTTTCAACTGTAGGACGAACGCAAATAATATGAATGTTCGGAATTTAGTATAAAATGAAATTTGGACAAGGATTACATATACGCATTGAGTCAGGAATTACCTTTTACTGTTTAATTAGTGAAAAATTATGTGCCCAATTTTTTGCAAGTTTAATAAGCGTACTTAAAATAGTTGTGGATGGGTGCACATCTTAATTGGTGAAAAACGTAACCTAATGATAATGTGATGTGAAAATTTTAATGAGCAAAATAGTCAATGATAAAATCAAACTCCTCACATATCGAAAGAGAATTTTAAATTATGTAAAATTCAATAGTAAAGAAGTGAAAATTTAGAAATAAACTTCAACGCTGCAGACTTCCCATGCATACATGTATACATACACATTTCTAAGAAATTGGTTCTATTAAGCGTACTTTCTTGGTAGTGTATATTTTTGGGAAGGTAATGAAATGCACACACCTTGCTGCCTTGGCCAGAGAACTTATAATTATAAGTTCTCTGCTTGGCGTTGGAACCGCCGAAATCTTTATTATAGCACACATTCATAAATTTATTAGAGCTGAATGGCAGCTAAATGAAAATGTGAAGAATCCGACCAACTACATTGCCGTGTATATACATACATACATGCATACTTATTTGTATGTATTTCAAACAAGTGTTGGCGTGTTTACGCAAATAACAATATTATTGTATGGATTGCATTGGGATACCAAAACCAGAGAGAAATATGTATAACCAACAAATCTAATGGAATAATAATTTTTGGCTTAAAATTTAATACATTTTGTAATATTTAGAGTTATCAGAATGAATGTTTAAATCAAAAAATTTTATTATAACAAAATGTTATTAATATTATTATTATTATTTAAAAATAAGAATAATTACTTAATTAATAATTAAGGCAATCCGTTCGGAATTGATTTCACATAGGTTGGGATTTTTGACTCGACTTTAGAAGGGGAAGAATTCTTACCAAGTGCCACTGAGCCGCTCAAAGTGCTGGGAATTTTCCGCAAACAGAAATAAGCAAGCAAAAGAAACAAATGATTTGCATTTTTGTCAACGAAATACAAAAAATGGCTAATAATTATGTACTAACAAAAGAAATAAAAAATAATATTTTTTTTTATTTAATTAAATGATACAAGGATTCAGTAGTACAGTACAGTTATTGTTAAGCGAAAATGTGGTGGTTGTGGAGTGCAATCATCGCCGCATACCACAAAATCTGCATTGACGAATTGGTTGTTAAGAATGGTGAACGCTGGTTTTGAATTTCTTCAATTCACTAGAAAGCAATATGGAGCAAATGAGCTGAAAATCATAAATCAATAATTAAATGTAGTTTAAAAAAGATTAAAAACATGCAATCCACTTATTCGAAATCAGATTTCAGGACAGGCCAGTATATATACTAATTTATAAATATTTTTTTTCTATGTGAAATTGGGAATGTGTCCAATTGATGCTCTTCGTAAGTCTAGTGTATATAGGACGTTTTTCTGGTACAACCAATCTCTGTAGTGGGATTCACTAACTTTCATCGATACGATTTTTCGAATTGCAACTAACGAAACTGAATAGCCGGCATTTCTTCCTTCTCTCGTTCGGGCCGCGCTCCTGAGTATGTAGAATAACCGCCAAAATATTGAGATACGGAAAATATTCAAAAACTATGATATGCTAACCCTGGATTGAAAATATCAATTTGTTTATGCTAGAGCTTTGAATGTTAATTATAAAAAAAGTAAACAATAAAAAGTAAATGCAATACCTATGCGTATGAAATGGTAAAAGTTGATAAGCCATCTGTACAAAGTTTACAAAAAAATGGCCAATAAGTTGTCACAGCCAATTATTTTATGAGCATTTGAAAGAGTTTAAGAATTTTATACCGCCTGCTACTCAAATTTTGTATGATAATCTACTACAATCTAACTAAATTTAAGAAAATAAGTTTTGTTTGACCACAATTACTGCCTCCGGACACCGGTCCACCTCCGGGAGTAACGGCGACTTGCAGCGGAGTGTGGCTCTACCGAAGTCGACCGTTTCAATTCTTCTTCTCATTTTCCGGTCACCGAAAGGTCTAGGCTCAGTTGTCAACAACAAACCAGTTTTAAATGTATAAAAACAATCCAGTCTCGGATCCCTGTACGGGTAAAAATGCAGCTGTGGGACTGGGATTTCCCAAAACGTCACAAAACTCCTCGAGAACTGCATCGACGTGCTCTCAGGAATCAGGTTTTCCAGGCGGAACTCTTCGCAGTCATGGAGGCCTCGGAGTGGTTGCACAAAACTCCGACAGCAGGACAATCGGTTACAATTTACTCCGATAGTCAGGCTGCAATCAGGTCCCTAAAATGTAACGGTACAACGTCAAAAGTGGCCAAATGGGCCTGGCAGACGAACTAGCCAAGGAAGGAACCCTTCTATCTACGATAAAACACGCACATGATGCTGATTATCTCTGTCCACAGCTAAGTACATGCTTAAACTGACCTTCACCAGGAAAGCTGTCTCACGATGGTTGAACGAGATCACTTGTAACGTGACCAGACAGCTGTGGCCGAAGTTGGATGCCAAAAAATCTAAGCATCTTATCCTCCTGAACCGGTTCTCCATTAACATAACGACTGATATGATTACTGGACACTTTTTAATGGGACTTCACGGGATTAGGATGGGCTTTTACTTTAACGATTTATGTCGTGGCTGTAGGGATGAAGAAGAGGAGGAGACCATCGAGCACTACCTCTGCCATTGTCCAGCTTTGACAGCAGCGCGAAACAAGTTTCTTGAGAAATACTTCTTCGACTGTCTCGCTGAGTTGGCCTCAGTCATCATTGGAAAAAATAAGGCACACGAAATGGTTCGGTCATTTGAGAAGGTGATGGCAGGAGCCTTAGCGGTATCACAATGGGCCGCATTAGTTCAACTCAAATTAAAACTTATAGTTCAAGCATGTTGAAGCGCCACAAACCACTTCGAAGTCGATTTTCACCAAAATATGATTATGGTCTCGGTTTGATGGTATTGAAAGGGTGTGGTAAACTTTAAGCTGCTTCCCATGAGCCAAACGATTATTTCGGATATCTTCTGTAAACAACTGAACAAATTGAGTACATCCATCAACGAGAAGCGGCCGGAATTGGTCAATAGTAAATGTGTCATATTCCACCATATAGCCCTTACCTTGCACCGTCAGACTACTATTTGTTTCGATCTTTGCAGAATTCATTAAAGGATAAAACTTTCGAAAATGACGACACTATAAAATCGCACTTGGTGCAGTTTTTTGCAGATAAAGACCAGAAGTTCTATGTGCGTAGAATAATGATGTTGCCGGAAAGAAGGTGAAAGGTTATCCAACTAAATGGAAATTACTTATTTATTAAAGTTCATTTTGCAAATTAAAAAATGTATTTACTTTCTTTTAAAAAATCGCCGGTTTCTTTCAGGGCAATCCAATAGACTTCTTAAGTCAATAACATTCAAGTGGTGAGAATCTTCCACTTTTCAAAGTAAACTGATAATATTTTGGTCTATTTTATTTTATTTTATTTGAACCTACAGTATGTCAATTATTGTTTGCAAAATGAAAAAATCACAAAAATTTATTTTCAAATTTTATTTTATAAATGAAAGTATTTTATTTTTTTTCTTTTATTTTTCTTTTACTAATTGGTATTTTTAATCTAAGCATTCCTAACAAATATCACTCGCATAAATAACAAACATTAAAACCGGGCTGTAAAAAAAATAACATATTTAAAATTCGCCAGATATTGCGTTGTCATGTCAATTAATTCTTAGCAAAATGCCCACACAATTCAAAATAAAACGTAGATAACTGGTACGATAACGGTACTATGAATTTGAAAACGAGTGAACGCGTACGTCATAGCTATGCCTTACTCTATTACATTCAATTCGATGAATGCTTTGGACAGTTCAGATCTTGTTGATTAAGCGCTTTTAACAATGCCGGGCAAGAGAACTAATGAAAATCTTGTTCGATGAGTTTATTGTAACTACCAGAAAGGAAAATCGGCTAAGGAATTAGCGGAAATGTTTTCCATCAAGCTTAGAACGATTTATAATAAATTAAATGCGCATACTGATAATTTTTTGGTCTATTTTATTTTATTTTAACCTATATGAAATATCAAATCTTTTGTACCTGGCGCCAAAGGCTTCAAAACATTCGCCATTAACAGGCCTATTCTCACTGTTACCGGTAAAGTAAATTTTGTTACTTTTCTTTAACACCCGAAATTTAATTTGGTATTCTGGCGAACTGGTTACAATGTTTAAAAAAAATTGGCAGCACTGCTTTTTTCGTCCATGTCAAATTACATTTCCAAGTTGATAAAGTAAAAATAAAAATATTGACATCAAAATGGAAGACAGTTATAAGTTTTATTTATTTGTTTATTATATCATAAATATTTGAACCTAATTATGGAATATATGCCTGGACAATGAAAATGATATCTTACAAATTAAAGGGCTATTTTTAGTCTCGAAAACTTCTTAAGATACGGTTTTTTGCACTTATTTCTTCATCTTCAATGAATTCAAGACCTAAAATATTCCTACCGATTTTAGTTTTAATTTTTTCTTAAACCAACAACACAAAATCAAACAACAGATTTTTTTGTTAGCTCCTATTTCGCCTGTAACAAAATTTACTGGTTGACAGTGAGCTCAGAATACGAAATAGTAACAAACTTTACTGAACGGTAAATTTTAATACCAAAGTAAATTTTGTTACCTCGACAGAATAGGCCTGTAATTAGCAACTTATCGTAGTAGTTAACAAAATCAGCTGATCAAACTATAGCGAATATCGTTCAAAGATGTACAGCGATATTAACGATCCGAAAATCGGGAAAATAGAATAGTGAATCCAACTACTGGTTCTGTGCGTTTGGTATAATAAATTGTACATTTAGTTGCACGTATGTATGTATATGTATGCGTATAACGGCTTCAGAGTTAGGCTGCAACTACCCAACGAGCGTACCAGCCGTCCATAGTAAACACAAAGTTGTCACCGATTTACCATAGCGTTGCTGACGTTTGTGTCGCAGAAACCAACGAAGTTTTGATTTTTCCGTAAAACCGGCTCGGCTCATTTTTCGTTGCTATACAAGGTTGCCAGTATAGCCTTTCTTAAAGTAACATTAAATAATCGAAGATAATGCGTAGTTTTGTTCAAAAGAAATGAAAACTAAATGCGTAACTAATTATTTGTTACTATATAGATCATGTATATTTGCCTTGTGTTTATGTTAAAGCAAATAAATTATGAAATTCGTTGACGAAAATTATGAATTTGTTCAAAAGTGTGCAAACACACAGGCAGCTGGCAACATTTCGCCGCTCTCAGCGGCGTCGATAGCTCGTGTATGTATTTCACTACTAACGTCGTCAGTTATGGACGGCTGGAGAGTGAGTTGGGTAGTTGCAGCCTTAAAGTGAACTTTAGTTCGATTGTTCGCCTTTGAAAACTCTCAAATGTTTTTCATTATTTTGGGTAAATTAAATATTTCAAATGATCGCTTCAGCCTAAATTTAATATAAAAGAATTACTGAACTCTATTAAAGTGAACCGGATTTGAGTGGAAGGAACTGAATGTGCTTTATAAGATTTATCGCTGGAATACTTACGTATTCATAAAACCCTACTATAAAATTGTACTAAAAAGTACAATAATGTTTTTACAATGTCGGAAATCGTCGATACGGAGCTTCTTGTGAACTGCACAATACTAGCCGTTAGGCGCTTTGGGCTTAACACCATTGTGAATTCATCCACATTAAATAGCTTGAATCGTTCCGAAATTATAAGTCTTCTCTCTGGAATCATTGAAAATAAGGACGACTTGGACAACATTAATGATGCAAAGTGAGTAGAAATATGTAGATTTCTTAACAAAATAATTAGACTCTTTTACGTAAAGCTAATTTTAATACTAATTTATCAGGGTTTTCCAATGTTAGTCAGAATTCACGTAAATAAATGACTGCAGAACTTACTCACACACACCGAAACACCGTTAGAGTACAATTATACACTATTTAGAAGCAAGTGGTTTCGAACGAAATTATTGGTTTCTGATTTTTTATAGAAAAAAGTTTTACATTCATAGTTTCTTACTAACAACATCGTAAATATAGTATTTTGCATTTACACATACATACATATAAGGCGATTCTCGGCGGAGCTATTAATGGTGACGAATTGCATAGCCTCGCATGCGCTAACGCTAGCAAGTATAAAAAAGAGTTATCAAAAGGGATAAGGTAATACACCGCGGATGTGTGAACAAAACGAAAGGAGCAATGTTTTTTTTTTTTTTTTGAAAGCAATAAAAGCACAAAAGTATACCCTAATACAGTTAGCAGAATACAACTTGCCAGGCTTAAAAAATTTTTGACAAAATTATTTCCTGTAGGCAAATATATACAAAAATACAATAAATCCTTTTATACCTATAAAAATCATTTTGAATTATAGCTGGTATAACTTATAATGCTTTCTTGTAGTTTTCTTGAAATTATCAAATGCAATGTAATCATTATTCTTTATGTATTATTTGTCGGCTATCTTTTGTGACCATCTGAAAACATCTTTAAGTTCTTCCTAGTAGAACAATAAATTAGACAATAACATTTTTATTCAAAGCTATCACACAAAACGCCAGCTAAGAATATGAAATTTCACAACTTCAATGCACACAAGTCGTCCAATATTTATTAACTTGTTTTTATTATTTATATTTTTTTATATTCATATTAAAACTTGCCCTTAAAAACCAGAAATTTCTCCAATACTTTCATTTATTTTCTTTTTTCGTGAACAAGTAAGTATTGTTTGAATAACGAACACCCTAATACACATTATCACCATGTAACTCACTTTTCGAATTAAGACTTCGTCAGCTCTATCGCATAAAAGATTTGAAATAAGATGGATTAGGTCAGATTAACTAAATTTTCAACTTACGAAACTAAGATGGCAGCGGGGAGAACGTTATTAAACGCCCACTTAAGGAAAAGTGTTTAAACTGGTTAATCGCTTAAGCCAAACAGCGATTACTGAGAAAGTTCGTGAAAGTAGCGCCAGCCGTATCTCTTTCTCCTACAGAGATTTCTGTAGCAGAGCTATTGTGGTGAAAATTTGATGCTCATTTTCGCCACAGTAGATTTTTCATATTTCAATTTCCTCTTTAATTTTTAAGATTTCCTGAAGTGTTCGGTTTCTGTTTAAAATCATCTCTATGATTTTTTCTCTTTTATTTGTTAAAAGTTTTGTTAAAAAGAAGACTGCTTTATGCTCCCAATTCGAATGACACCGCTGAGTAGTTTCCCTTCGACCTGCAAAAGTTGAAAAAAGAAAAGTTTACAGCGACTCATCTCTTGACCTTTCGTCCGAACTTTTCCCGAAAGAGTGCTACGAGTTTACATTGTGTCCAACAATTGGCTTTTCCCCACTTCAGCCAAGGTTGTCGCGTGTAGACAGAGATCAGCCAAAGCTGGTATCAAGGAGTGACTCGTTGTTCGGAGTCCAGGGGCACCTTCCCTGCTAAACCACGACCTTAAGTACCACACTACCGAGCCCAAAGCTGAAACTAGTTTCGTCTTGCTGAAATGATCGAGGTACTCTTCGTTTAGCAATATCAGCACTTGCTGATTCTCCTTGGCATCATCGATCGTATGATGCTTCTAAAACTGGTATTGACTTTTCCATCTATCACCAAGTCCCCAGATTTATTAACATTATTACTCGCAGCTGTTCCAACACTTACATTCCTAGTGGCAGCCGAACTGTTCTCCACACATTGAGAATCTTGTATTTTAAATAAGTCTCAACTTCAAAATCGCTATTCGACTTCTTAAAAGTAGTTATCATTTAGGTTGAGCCATTTAGCGTTACTCAGGATGCCCCACGAGGAGACCTTCTACCCAGATCCTAGTAATACATACCTGTTTATGTATGTATAACCGGTGAAAGAATTTTCGGCCGAGCTCCATCTCGTGCGTCTTGATGTTTTTCTATTGCCCAGAATTCAAGCCCACGACTCACCACATGTAAGCGCACTCTGATAACCACTAGATTAACGCCGTCTTGTTCATTTATTTAGTTGTTAGTGTCGCATACCTTCAAACTAGGACTGGTTAAAGACAATAGATGCGGAAAATGCTGGGAAGAGGAAATGGCAGTATGATGCAATTTGTATTACCCGGTGGTCTGCAGAAAGAGGGCCTGCTTCAATTAGCCAAGGGAACATCAAGAGGTGTAGCAGTATCTAAAGCTCGTATGTAGTGCATTTGGCAGCACGATGGACGAAATATCGTCTAGGTCGGCTTCTTAGACCAGCGCAACCTAACCTAGCCTGTTCTTCTTACATATTTTATGTTATATGAAAATATAATTAATTTTATTTGAGAATACAATATTTAGCTCTTCTGTTATACAATTATAACCATTTAATTCACAGGGATTTCTTAACCGAGTGCTTATTTCCATCACCGACACGACCATATGAACTACCATGGGAACAAAAAACCATCTGGGCTATTATTTTCGGCATGATGCTCTTTGTTGCAATTGCAGGAAATTGTATTGTTTTGTGGATTGTTGCAGGTAAGCAGACTAATTATTTAAAAAAAGTTTATTAATTTTAACAAATACATACATATTTATTAGTGATAAATTTATAGATTAATGAAGTTCTGATAATTATAAACCTGATTAATTAACTATACAATTAAGAGGTCTAGAAAATTTTAAACATAAAGAGTAACCGCTGAAGCGATTTCCGGACGAGCTCCTCCTCCGATTTGTGGTGCACATCTTGATGTTTCCCCTGCATTTACAGTTTATACTAAGCCGCTTCCGAACGGCCGATAGATTATTATGAGGATCTCTTACTTAATGTCAGAATCAAAGTTGGAGGTCTTGACATATCAGCCGAGGGGCGACCGTTATTAGAAAAACTAATTTTCGATGTTGATCAAAATAAAAAAATAATTTGCAAAATTTTTAAAACTAAAATTTTAAATGGTTCTGCAGTTCATAGCATCATTACAAACTTCAAGAATACAAACAGTGCCGAAAGTAAGCCCCGATCTAGCTGAGCGAACTCCAATTTAAAAGAAATCAACAAGAATCTGAAAATAAGTTCCTCAAAGTTAGTGGATCTTGTAGAGAAATGTTCGACTTTTAATGTTTATCCAAGAAGTGTACAATGCTCTCCCTTAATTATATATTGTTAGCGCTTTATAACCGCTGAAGCGATTTTCCGGCCGAGCTCCTCCTCCCATTAGTGATTTTGCATCTGGACGTTTATCCAACAAATACATACTGGACCAAAATTTGAAGGCAACTGCCGATAGTTTGGTTTTGAAAATCCCTGGATTTTTCAACAAGATTGCGACGCACTGTATTCTATTCGGTTATGATCACCAGGGGTATCTACGCAAAAAAAAAAAAAGAATATACAAAAATACATAATTTAAATGTTTAGACTATAACAATGCGGTTACGCATGCTAAAAAAACTTACCCATGAATTAAAAAGTGTCAGTGCTATTATGCTCAATGATCTTTATGCTTAGATACTTTTGCATCACAAGTGGAGCGAATATGGCTCCACTTGGAATTCGGTTGAGTTTTCATCTCCAATTTATATTTAATGTTTTTGATTCCACTTGCACATTTTCTTTACATTTTGGCAATTATTTTCACATATAAATATATAGCATAAACAATGTAAAATACAAATAAGCTAATATTTATGTTCTTATGTACTTTTTTTGTTTAAATGAATTTACTACTCAAAAATAAGCTATGCGAAATTGAATGCGCTAAGCACAATACAATCAGCCATAACACATTGACTTTGGGTTTTTTATATTTATTTCGATGCCATATTTTATTTTCGTATAATATTCACATGTTAGGTTTTATTAAAAAAATGTATCCACAGGATATTAAAAAATATATGTATATAACATAAGTACATTTTTAATATAAAAACAAAATTAGTATTTTTAAGATATGCCGAGATTATTATATATTTAGACAACACATTAGTTTAGTTAACATAATTTTTTATTTACATGCAATATTTCTTTTAAACGGAACCACACCAAAGGCCATCGTAGTATGCGAACAGTAACAAATTATTTTTTGCTCAACTTAAGTATTGCCGATTTGTTGATGTCCTCGTTGAACTGCGTTTTTAACTTCATCTTTATGCTGAATTCAGACTGGCCGTTTGGCTCCATATACTGCACCATAAATAATTTTATGGCAAATGTTACTGTCTCCACTTCGGTTTTTACATTGGTAGCTATTTCATTGGACAGGTAATGCAAATATGAATATAATACAATACTTTCGAACAGATATGCAATACGTGTACACAAGATCACATCTATTAAATTAGAATGAAATTGAACTATTAAGAAAATAATATAAAAAAGGAAGAGTGCTACCCCTCCAAACGGCGGAGAAGCTTTTATTTGATCGTCAGAAGTACCGAGTTATGGTAATGAGTTCAAATCGCGGTTGGTTTGAATTGATGTCCATCATTTTGTATAGAATGCGTTATTCGGAGAAGTTTAAATTTAAATTAAATGAAGTAATCTTAAGCTACTTGCTAAAAATACCATTGGGGCATTCTAGAGGACACCATAGTTTATTTAATGGTTTAAGTATGATTACTTCCAGTTACTGCTCCTCAACCAATTTTTTCAACCAACCAACAAACAGTATAAAAAGCTGTAAGACTGTATCAATAACTGTGCTCTTGAAGCTATTTTAGAAAACTCTATTTACTGACAGAGAATAGATGCAACGTAAAGTATGCATTACATACGTAGTCTATTGTGAACGTGTTTTGCAGTTAGTTGATTACCTACATTTTTTACATACTCGTACCCGTAACACATTTATACTAAAAATAAAATAAAAATTCATAAATATCCAAATTTCGTTTAAAGATATATTGCGATCGTTCACCCTTTAAAGAGACGAACATCCCGACGGAAAGTACGAATTATATTGTCACTGATATGGATTGTTAGTTGCGTTTTAGCGGCACCTTGTTTAATGTACTCCAGCACAATGACAAAGAGGTAAATATAAGAATACATATAACCAAACAAATAATAATTAATATATTGCTTGACGCATTTACGTTTTTTCATACATAGTTTTCGAGTATTCTCTCATCCACGTTGAGTATATATACTTGGTGGAACTTTAAAAAAATAAAAAATATTACCGCTCGTAAATGATGACAGAAGTCATTCATTTTATTCATCAGGATAGATGTTGCCAATTTAAACAATAATTGGCTTCCTTCAGGCGGTCCTGTTGCTAACAGTACAATTCTGAATTCAGAGTTTGGCCTTTTGAGCCGGCTCAATTCCTTTCGATTACAACTGTTTTCGTTTGGCGTTTCTGTAAGTGATCCACTTTTCCTGACCAGTCCACATCCGCTTAAGAAATGGGCCGATATTGTTATGACTCAACAGCGATTCGCAGATGGAAATTCCGTCCATGAGATTTTTTTCGCTTCTTTGTGAATCCAAAATTTTTTAAGATTCAAACTGTTTTTTTGCAAAGAAAATATGAGAAATTTTGTTTTCACGTTTTTGTGTTGCAGCAAGAAATATTGCACTGCAATACTCTTTGAAGCCGAATGCCTTTTAATTTCATAAGTAATTCGTTTGAATTTTTCTATAGTTATTATGTTTTTCATGAAAACCGAATTGGTGTTTTGGTATTTGTTACAATGGAGAAAAGGAGGTATATTAAATATCAGAATTCTTTCGAATCATTAGTGGTCCGCAAGAAGACGCCTTTACCTTTACAAACAGTTTGAATATACACCTCAATTATGTGTTCACACCGATTTTGTTGGTTCGTTGAAAGTTGTTCGGTAGTTTTGTAACTGTATTTGATTTTTGCAACATTTAAAGACTATCTTTTTACCCAGATACAAGTACCACATTATGAAGCTTGTTAGTTTTTTCGCTGAGTGAAAAGTTTATTTGCTTTATTGAAAAATTAATTGAACTTTTTGAAAAATTTTGATTTTACATTTGCTCAAGGCAATTTTTACTTTTTAATAAAATTTAATCTTCTGTTTTGAAAAAAAAAAAACTCACCACGCTACTGAAATATAGTAAAGAAAAACTAAGAGCGCATGAGCTATCCTCTGAAAATCTTCTACCAAACTACCCAGGTACTCCTCAAAGCTATTGCCCAATACGATTATGTAGCATTGAATTCATTTTCGACACAATCAATAAAACCAATAGAAGACGAATAGAAATATAATGAAAATCAAATGATTCCTTAATTTTATATTTATTTTTCATATTGAAATATTTATTAAATATAGAAATTACAACAATTTTTAGAAACCTTTTTTCGTTAAATAAACCGAATTTCTTATATTATTTTATAAATATTTTTAATTTTTATATTCATTGCATTAATTATTATTGATAAATAAATAAAAAAATTAGTAAATATAAAACAAGCAAACAACATACAAGGGTCCAGCAAGTTTGAATATTTTTACACCGGAACAAAAAAATATGGCATTGGGCTTTCCTTTTCCTGGAGGAGTAAATATTCGAAGGAATATATTTTTCCTGCGCCCCTACTTCGTAAGCAATCCACTGCGCTGATAGTGCACACGCCTCAATGCCAAGAATGTGGATCTTTACATAACGTAATTTTTTTTTAATAGTTTGTGTGATTAATCTACTTTAGCACCTAAGAATTTATAAAAAATCAGTACACTTGTCGAAATTGGCACCACAAATTCGTATTTTCTATCGATTTCATTATTTTGAGTTTTCATATTCAGAGCCTTTTTTCCTGTATTATGAGCCTTTTAAATATTCCCATTAGTTTCCTTGTAATTGTTATATAAAATCTGATCAGTATGATGCAAATTACAAACGCTGTATAAGTATACAGATTGCTATATAAATTTCAAGAATTTCGCTTAATTTGGGGCGTGGATAATTTTGCTCGAGACCTCAATTGTAAAGTTATTCTCGAGACTATGAGTGGTCGGTTAATCCAGAACTCACCATGAAACTCCTCATGGGAACACCGGAAAATAATGTTGCGAAAATGCGAGGCGAATGTCAGATAAAAGAGAGAAGCCGATAACTAGTACGTTCTAGAAACGATAAAACAAGAACCTTCCATAGCGAACAATTCGATGCTTCTACGCTTTCGTCTGCGAGCAGCCGACTGCTATATAAAGGCGGCACTCAGCTGCAAGTCAAGTTAGTGATAAAGTAAACTCGTTGGCGTTAACATCAGTAAAGTCGTAAAGTAAACGTGTTGGGATTAAATTTAAGTAGAGTAAATTGTGAAAGTTGATGATAGTGATTGTAAATAATTAAGTGTATGGTAATTGAATTGTGAATTACGGAGTAAATAAAGGACATTAGATAAAATCTTTATAACGAAAGAAACTGCAAATTAAGTTGGCGAGTTTT